TCATTGTGGATAGTTCTCTGAAAACATCTACTCAATGTGCAGTGGCAGTCAAAAAACCAAACAGAATGCTGGGAATAATTAAGAAAGGAGTAGATAATAGGACAGAAAATACCATGTTGCCTCTATATAAATCCATGGTACGCCCACATCTTGAGTAGTGTGTGCAGATGTGGCCAGCCCATCTCAAAAACAATATATTGGAATGGGAAAAGGTTCAGAAAAGGGCAACAAAAATTATTAGGGGTATGGAATAGCTTCCGTATGAGGAGAGATTAATAAGACTGGGGCTTTTCAGCTTGGAAAAGAGATGGCTAAGGGGAGATATGATTGAGGTCTATAAAATCATGACTGGTGTAGAGAAAGTAGATAAGGAAGTGTTATTTACTAATTCTCATAACACAAGGACTAGGGGTTCACCAAATGAAATTAATAGGCAGCAGGTTTGAAACAAATAAAAGGAAGTATTTCTTCACACAACACACAGTCAACCTGTGGAACTTCTTGCCAGAGGATGTTGTGAAGGCCAAGACCATAACAGGGTTAAAAAAAGAACTAGATAAATTAATGGAGGATAAGTCCATCAATGGCTATTAGCCAGGATGGGCAGGGATGGTGTCCCTAGCCTCTGTTTGCCAGAAGCTGGGAATGAGCGACAGGGGATGGGTCACTTGATGATTACCTGCTCTGTTCATTCCCTCTGGGCACCTGGCACTGGCCACTGTCGGAAGACAGGATACTGGGCAAGATGGACCTTTGGTCTGACCCAGTAGGGCTGTTCTTATGTTCTTAAATAAACCACCCAAAATGCAAATATCCAGGAAGAAGAATCCTGGAAAGCAGTAATGTTAAAAGTGTCTTGGACAACAGATTAGAATGAGTATCTGATGTAATAGGGCAGCAAACGCAGAGGCACCACTTCATTGAGTAGAGGTAAAAGTCTCTTCTGATATAGTTCTGGTGTGACTGGGCCTAGGCTATTGAGTTTATTTCTGGATACATCATTACAGAGAGATACTGATTTACAAAAGAAGATTCTAAGAGATAGGAGATATAAGAAATATTTTTGATGCCATTATATAACAAGAAGGACCAACGCAAAATGCAGATCTTCCTAAACTGCAGACTAGTTATAAAAGAGACAAAGGGCAAACTAGTTTTCATGAGATACTCTGAAAGCAAAAGACACCAGGCAGAATGTGATTGAACATGCGGTATAGAATGCTAAATCTGATCTCAAATACGTTATGAAGAGTTTCGCCAATCCCAGGGAATATGGAATATTACAGTTTTCACATAAAGTTTTACCACATCATATGATTTTTTCTGACAGTGTTTGATTCAACTGGTGTAATTTTGTGTGGGAAAAGTACACTTGTTTGAAAACCATTGCTTTGGACTCATCTAGAAAAGCAATAATTGCAAGTTGAAAATGAAATCTTAACACAATATTCTGTTGTGAAACAGAATGTCAACTGTACCTTGATATAATCATGTGCGACCAATCGCTAACTGTAAAATCATAGAATCCATCAAATTTATAATGACAAACAATAGTTAATATTGGCATTTTAGTGTTTGGGTTGTTTGGTTCTAAGTCACCAAGCCTGTTTTATCAAGTCAATGTTCATTATAGAGAACACCAAATACTACCCATCTACCCATTCCTTAATCAGAAAACATAAAAAGCTGAACAGCCCAGGGCATACTTAGGAGAAATGTGCCAAAGAGTGTACTCAATTTACATCATGTTCTGTGTGTATGCTGTTTTTGTTTCATGTCCGATGCAGGCCTTAAGGGAGTTTGGCATTTAATTTTGAAAAGGTGTCTCAGAAGACCAAAAGCCTGGAATACTATAGATGCCTGTGGGTTGTGTCTCAGAAAATAGTATATTGATCCTTAGGTGCAGAAAAAATCAGTAGAAAACCACCACCTCATGGCTGGTATCATATGAAGATTAACATTGCCTAGGGCACTCACGAGAAAGTGTTGGGTGATCAAAGATAGGCAATGAAGCAGAATAGTTTGCATTCAATTTCCACGTTATGATTAAACCACTACCTCTGCAACTATAATTGCAAATGTTATCATTTTTATGGCCTCTTGAACAGAAATAGATCTTTTCAGCCCCTTTCCTCTATCCTCATTAGACATTTAATTTTAAAAGTATCCCCCCAATTTAACTGAGTGTTGAAGGAAACACTCAGGTACACTTACTCCAAAACATAGTATCTTGGCTTCAAATAGTGTTTCTACAAGTGAAGCACTAGCTAGCAGGAGTAGCTAATTAACTTCAGGTTCCCCCAAGATTGTGTCAGAAGCTTAACTGATGAGACCTGAAACACAAAACAGGCAGTTTCATTTTCTGAATAACTTCTGTGTGTGAAATTCAGCCATCTACAGAGCATCAGTCCAAGACTCATGAAACATTCAAGTGATTACAGGTTTAAGTGGGAATTAAATAAGACATAGGCCCTGGATTAGCCCCATCGACATAAGGATGAATTTCACGCACAGAAGGTATTTTGAAAATGAAATTAAATAGCCTGTTTCCTTTTTCAGGTTTTATTCCATTAAACTTCAGAACCAATCTCCCTTCGTAGTGTTGCGGTGGAATATACTAATGCAAACACTTGAGAACTGCATGCTTTGTTAATCTCACCTCAGTCAGGAGTCAAGTGATAGCACAGGGAATCCTGACACCAAAAACTAGTTTTGTTTGGTTAAAGGAAGGCTTTGCATAATAACTTTTTCATGGCACAGGAAACTCTTAAAACATTTTAGGGTGGTTGGTCCTCACAAAGAATTTATATTGCAAAGAGCGGTCTTCTTTTGGAAGAGGTGCAGTAAGGATTTGCCTCTCGCACTCTCCTCCTTCCCCACTCCTCAGTTTGAACTCTGTTATGTCTATATACAAGGTGTAAGGTAGTGGGGAAATAGGACTCTTATTTATAAGACTAATGACAAAATAGAATGTCATATAGTACGGAGAGAGTTTGGGTCATATTTTCTTCTGGTGTCACTCCACTGAAGTAATTACAGTGAAACCAGCAGAGAATTTGGCTGTTTATATATATTAAAAAATGCGGATGTGCAATTCAAATTTTCATTAGGTGGCTAACAGAGTGTTTTGGGGAGAGATAGTGTAGCAGTCTAGGACTTTTTTTCCCCTAAAGTGTTTACTAGTTTCTTGTCTCTTGTCCAGACTTTCTTCTTATAGGCAGAGCTGATAGTGTTGGCTAATACTTTCAATATTTTCAGTTTCTTATAACTTTCCCAAACTCTAACCATTCTGGCTGAAATTTCCCATACTAGGTGTCTGCCTCAGGCTGAATTTTGTTTGAAAAGTTTCAGCTATAATAGTTCAGGTGCTCTCAAGAATGAAATTAGAGGAAACATTTTTGCCCATGTTAAAAAATTCTTAGTCATTTCATTGAGAAGGTCTGGTACCTCTGTTCTTTTGAGCAAAGTAGTTTAAATTTGGCTGGGGGACACTTTTTGTGTCAGAGATGTAAGTTTTGCTGTCCATGTGGAAATCCACTCAAATTTGGCCAAGTTTTAAGCCTTTGGAAAATCCCACTTTGCATATGCTCAGTAGAGACTTGTTAAAGTTTAGAAGTTAAGTTCTGTGACTATTTCCTCTATACTTGGCATGGTCCAGCCTGAAGGTGCAGCGGGCTGAGCAGGACTTTCTCTGCAAATGCTGCTATTGGCTGATGTGAGCCACTGTGACAAAGTATACTGTAACTGTATGCAGGGAGACTGTTTCCTGTGCTTTGCTGGTGACCAGGCAGCATAGAGGAGAAAGAGGGAGTAACTTGACTGGAATGTAGCGGGGGAAGCGTGAGGAGTGAGGTGTGGGGAGGGCATGGAGGGAAGAGACGAATGGATTACAAGATCTGGGATGCGGTGGTCAGTGGAGGTGGGGAGTGGGACAGGAGTTGGATAGGAGCAGAGGGAGAGGAGGAGGTTGGAGGGGCATATAGGTGCAGAGGGAGACTAGAGCAGGAGCCAGGGAATGGAGATGTGAAGGACCAGAGAGGGACTGAGGCATGAGTTGGGGGAGTTGGACAGCAGAAGAAAGAGAGGGGGCAGGAGCCAAGGCATTGGGTGATGGATAGAACCAGAGATGGTGGAGGGCAGGACCTGGGAGAGTTGGATAGGAGAAGAGGGTGGAAGGTAGGAGCCTGGGATGGGGTTGGATAGGAGCAAAGTGGGTAGTAGATAGGAACAGGGGGAGAGGGAGCAGGAGCTGTCTGTGTATGTGTAGGGGGATGGGATGATGTATAGGAACAAAGTGGGGCTGGGGCAGGACAGACAGGAATGGGGGGCAGAAGCAGGTTTGGCAGGGGGACATGGGCAGAAGAGTATATAACCACTAGAGCATGTTCCAAAACTTGAAAATGAACCCAGAAGTCCTGAGTCCCTACATTCTTCTGCTGCCAGCAAATAGTCGTGAATCCACTGACAAAGCATATGTCTCATCCCTCTCTTGTGCCTGGGCTATGTAGAGTATAACAGCCTACTATTGCTACCAGTTACTTCATTAGCTCAAGTAGCGGAGATCTGTTCTGTTGAGTGTTAGTATCGCTCTGCATGATGGAATTTCTGGGTTTTTTTTTTTCAGTTTACTTTTTTCAAGGATTTATATTGATTCTGTAGCAGTTCTTTACCACTACACATTCCCAGAGTTTATCAATGATTCTGACACACAAAGCAGTTTTAGCCATGATAGGTCATTATCCAAAGTTGCACAAAACAAAACATGTTATGTTATTTTTTATCTGCTTTCCCCTTCAACTCTCAGGATGAAATAAATGTTCAACAAATGGTATGGGACAAAATTGCTGGGGGGGGAGGGAATGTTCTCATGTTTCCTGCAAACAACAGAGAGTAAAATAAAACCAAACAAAATATTTGATAGGGTCCATTGAATATGCATGAAAATAATTCACTTTTCATTTCCTATATATAAAGGCTTACTAAGCTGTTTGTTTGCATAGATGGTTGAAGTTTGAAGAAGATGTAGAGGATGGTGGAGAGCGATGGAGCAAACCATACGTTGCCACTCTGTCACTTCATAGCTTGTTTGAGTTGAGAAGTTGTATCCTGAATGGTACAGTTCTACTGGACATGAGAGCTAATTCTTTAGAAGAAATTGCAGGTATACTGATGTTTTATACCAATAACTTATCATGATAAATATTAATGTTGGAAACTAAAGTATGTATCACTTATCAGAGAGCTTTTGCATAAAAATCAGCTGTATGTAGAAACATTTTCTATAAATATTTTACATGTATAAAAATATCTAAAATTGGAGTTGAGCAGTATTGTAGTAAGATATTTTATAGCTAACTTTGCATAAGTTGTAGGTGTTTAATCAGAGTGGATGTGTTCTCTACTCCACTTCTGCCACCACACATTCAAAATGATATATGTACTAAGTTCCACAAATTAAAGCCATTTTTGAGATGGCTGATCACAAACAGACAAATCATCTTAAACATTCCTTAAAGCATCAACAGTTTTCCACCATGCTGAAATAACACACAACCAGCTGAATGGGCTCTTTCCCAAATTTACAAATATGCATCTTTGGTTTGAGAACAAGATAGAGACATTTCAGCTGGTAGTGTATATTTTCTAGGAAGTTGTAGATACCTTAGAATGAAAGTGGCTTTTTTAATTATAATGCTCCCATCATTGTATAGGAAACATCTGTAGGATGCAAAGTGTCCTGGCACCTGCTCAATGGTATAATGTTTATGTGCAGCCTCACAGGAAACATTTCAGATTATAGGCCTTTAACCCAATTCTCACTGTGTTGATGCTCTTCATGGGGAGATACAGTCACAACTCTCATAACAGCTTTAGGGAGTTTCATTTACGATTCCCTTCTATACTGCTAGGAAAATTCAGCCCTCTGTAACTTCATAACTACATACCTAGTACATGAGCATGCTGAACTGGGTAAGGAGGGAATGGACTGGGAAGAAACGCAGAAATTGTACAATTCACATAAGTTTCACTTGGGGGGAAAGAGGAGAAAACTGAAGTTTTTTGAGTTTGAAAGACCACATTTTCTACAAGTCAGGGCAATCCTAGATTGAATTTACTCGGGGGGTAATTATGTAATAGCAGGGGATCACAGTGGAAAACTAAAATATTCAAAAAATGTCAGATGTTTGTGAGTAGACAATAAAAGGCTAGGGACAATAGGTTTAGAACAGAAGGACCCAAGAATGGCCATGAAATATGTTGAGATTCGGAGTTTCCCCCCTAACTCAATCCCTTGATGCTTGGGCTGGCAGAGGTTGGAACATCATGGAGAAAGCACAATCACCTTTTGGAGCACTTCTTGTCATGTTTGTGTGATTCCATCTGGCTGATGCTTGGAGCAGAGGAATCTGCAAGATAGAATCATTGAAATTATACAGATCCAGAAGTCCATCATCCTGCCACTGAAAAATTAAATAACTGCTAAAATATTCAGCAGTTATCAGCCAGAAATGTGTACCTGTGACAGTTCTTGGGTTACCCAGGAGTCAGGACTGTGGGTCTCCTTGTTGCCTTCTGGCACTGCCAGCATTCTTCTTTGGGCTAATGCCAGACCTTCTTTCACCAGGCAAATTAACAAACCCCAAACTCTTTTGAATCATTTCCCTGTGATATCCAGCCCCTGACATTGGCTCCTCACAGAATTTCCAGAGCCAAAGGTGCAGTATGCTCCAGTTCACCAGTTGTACCTTAAACCACTGCTCCTGTAACTCACACAGTATTTGTGAGCACTTATAGTAAAGCAAAAGAAGGTTTATTTAAGAAAGAATAAAGATTTAATTAGAAACAAGAGAGTGATGGAAACAATTAGTTGCAATAAAGAACAAAATCATAAAATCAAACCTGGGTCTACACTTATCAATATTTCCTATCCAGTAAAGTAGATTCCCCCCCAAACCTCCAAAGCTCAGTTTGTTGCAGAGCTGGCTGGTTTCTCAAGAATCAGGACCCAAATGTTCATGAAAGCATCCCCTCACATGGCATTGAGAGTCTTGACAAGTGAAGAGATTTCTGTAGATACTTTACATGTTACTCTTTATGTATAAATATCCAGTTAGACATGTGTTTGGTGTAGTGAGTTTGTCATATCTGAGGTGAGAGCTGCTTGCAAAGAACAGGGGGCCCATTGCCAAGGAGTCTCTGTATTACACAACCATCTCCCACCTCCATTTCCCTCAAAGACTATGCATTTCATCCTACTTCAGAGGTGAGAGTCAGGCACAGGGAGAAGGAATAGAGGGTTTCAGGCCCTCAAAAGAGAAAAATTAGAGACACAAAACACCCATTATGAGAACATTTACAGCAAAAGAATAGTGTAAAAAATTATGAGAGCTTAAAACTTACATTAATTTATTTGAGAGTTCAAAATGGGAGATGGTACCTGTAAGCAGGGTCTGAATGAATGCTTCCCTGATAGCTAGCTGGGAGGGAAGAGACTATGGGTGTGTTTATTTAAATACAGTTTACTCCTGCTGTTTACATATTCATCATTTACAGCTGTGTCAAAGGATCAACTTTGGCTGGTGTTGGGTACAAATGACCTTAGTACTGAATGCAGGGGTAGTGAAATATGGTTACCAATGTTGTAATTATTGTAGGAATACAGGAAAGTAGGACAGTGCTTAACCTGTCCCATATGAGGGGAGGCACCCTCAATTGAAAGAATCTAATTAAGCAGGGGCTTGAATGTCAGAGTTCTGTGAAAGTAAAGGGGTGGAGGGAAAGACAGAAGTCCTGGTGTTCTGGCCAGGAGGCTGCACGACTCCCCTCTCCCACCCCCCAGGTATCCTCTTTAGACTGGCTTTAACCTGTTCTTCCTCCCTATTCAAAGAATAGAGCTAAATAGGCTTCATTAGGAGCCTCTTTTGTTATTTTAATTGCTCAGTCAGAGTTGAAACCAGTTGTGGTAGGACTGTGTTTCTACCCTGCCTGCGAAGAGCCAAAATCACTTGAGCTGGGGCAGAGTTTCTGCCCAGCCTGCAAAAGAGCTGAAAATGACTGAGAGACTGATGTGCAGTGGTCACAGCAGAATGTGACTGACAGTCAGCTGGCGAATGAGTGACCAGCAGGGAAGCAGCAGAGAGGCGCAATGAACGGCCAGCAGGCTGGCGGCGGAGAGGCGTGCGTGGTGAGAGCAGTGAGCAGGTGGCCAGTGAGCAGCCAGCTGAGCGAGTAAGATGCCTCTTTACCCCCAACCCAGGATAGGAGGTGATCTCTGCAGATGCACCTCTGAACACTAGGTCTGCACTGACCAAGGACAGCAACAGTGAGTGGGGTGCAGAGAAGGGTCGGGCATATGAAAGGGATTTTTGGGTTGCTGGACTTAAGCACCTGAGGGGAAAAGGGCACTGCCCAACCTACCTGGACGTGGATCTTTTACTCATGGTTTATGTTTATGAACCCTGTTTACACTGTTTTCCCAAATTAGCTCAGAGTTACTTCCCTCCTTTTATTAAAAGTTTCTTTTCTACGCTTGGACTCTGTGCTTGCAAGTGGGGAAGTATTGCCTCTGAGGCTCACAGGGGTGGTGTGTAATTTTCCCAGGTTACTGGGTGGGGGCTCAAGCTGGTTCTGTGTTGATCGATGGAAAGGAACCTCTAGATATTGAACCCGGCCCTGGTTGCTGCTGACTCCACCTGGGGGAAGGGTTACATACCTTTTGTTTGATATAAAGGTAGAAAAGTAATAGTGAGGAAACTTTGCCTCACACACCAGAAGAGAGTTTAAAGGAATTGGATTTACATACAGCGAGTAACGTATTTAAGGTCAGATAAGCTTCATCATAGTAATCTGAATGAGGCAACAGGGGAGATGTTGCACATAGGGTCAGCTCTTACAGAGACATTAAAGTTGGTTGGGATAGGTGTGGCTGCTCCCCACAGCAGGCACCCTTCTCAAACTTGTGTGTCAAAGTGGTGCGAGCTATTGTAAACCCAGTCTACAGTATCTTACCCCTTCTGTGGTAAGGATCCCATTCTTCCAGGGGCTGAATAAGAATGTCAGGATTTGGCTTAATAATGATAAAAGATGGATGTGAGGGATTGAAGTGAGACTGGCAGTTTGCTAGGACAAAGGGGTAAGCCAATGTGGTGTCTTATTACTATGTGTAACAAAACTTATTAATTTTTTATCAAGAGGATCACTTGCCTACCACCCAGTTTTACTGTTCTGATTGCTAGCACTATCTCACTCAGGCTGGAAAAACCCGGTGGTCAGCCTCAATTACGGCAATGCCCAGTCTTGGGAATGGTTTCTTATTGATGAACTAGAAGTGTCAGTCAGTCAGTCAGTCAATCCATCTCTCTAATGAAGTAAGTGTTCCACTCCAAAATAAATTTCTTCATGAACTTTGATGAAGTAACATTGAGCATTATGGAATTTTTTTGCCAGCTTTCTGACGATGTCTGATAGCAAGACCACAATGCATTTGTGTTTGTAGTCTCTGGAGCACTAGTTGCTGTCAGTTCTCCTTTTCTTTGTTGTATTCTTGAAACTTTAGAAGTCACAACATTAGTTTGTTCTGAGACCATTTTCTCAGGTAATTGGTCCATTAACTTGTCTTTTGGTACAGGATTTTGATTAAGGGTTGTAATGTAATTTTTTGCATTTCCAAAATCTTTTGACTCACTTAGAAAAAGTTTCAGAGTAGCAGCCATGTTAGTCTGTATCCGCAAAAAGAAAAGGAGGACTTGTGGCACCTTAGAGACTAACAAATTTATTTGAGCATAAGCTTTCGTGAGCTACAGCTCACTTCATCGGATGCATTCTGTGGAAAATACAGTGGGGAGATTTATATACACAGAGAACATGAAACAATGGGTATTACCAAACACACTGTAAGGAGAGTGATCACTTAAGATGAGCTAATACCAGAAGAGTACCCAGAAGTTACCTACTACAGGACAGGCCCAACAAAGAAAATAATAGAACGCCACTAGCCATCACCTTCAGTCCCCAACTAAAACCTCTCCATGCAACCTCGGATGCATTCAGTGGAAAATACAGTGGGGAGATTTATATACACAGAGAACATGAAACAATGGGTGTAACCATACACACTATAACGAGAGTGATCAGGAAAGGTGAGCTATTGCCAGCAGGAGA